CGACATGTTCGTTGAAGACGAGTGTACATTATATAGAGCTGAATATTTTTCGTTATTTTTTTGATGTTATGGGTGAGTAGATTATGAATTTGTTTTCGAGAATAATCAACCCATCTCATGATTTGCAATACAAATATCAGGTCACATAATAATGTTATTAGTTTAAGTTTTGGTGCCCTGTAGTGTAGTCTATACTCATTCAAGTCCAACTCTGCGTGAATTTATCCAAAGGTGTACAAAGACTCTAATTAGAGTAATATAATAGATTATGCTAATGATTACACCATATTACACAATGTTTTTTTGTGGTTAAAGTATGGAGTCTGATGATATATCATAAAATTCTGATAAACATCCTGATCTGTTTACTATGCTATTTTCGGAATTTGACGAATCACTTTACTTCCTCATTTTTTTAATTAGATTAAGTCACGTCTGCGTCGTTGAGTATGCGATATTTTTAGTATTTCAGTTGTATAAATAGGTACTTAGTGCCTTTGCAGTTATTATTATACCCGTACATTTTTTCGTTCCTCAAATATTAAGTAGGTCTTCGATCATTTTCTTGTTGAAGAAATAGCAGGTATAGGTATCTCTGCCCAGACACCACATGAATATACTTATTTTCGAATATTCTAACAGAATGATCATAGAATATTCTCATTCTGCAAACAATATTCTATGAATATTTCATTCGACATATTCTCAGAATATACTTTTCGAATATTCTGAGAATGAAAATATATGATAATTATGTTCCTATTCTTTTATCAATATTTCAATGAAGATTGTTAAAATTTTTTGATTAATTGTGAACTATAGCGGCTCTTTTAATTTCAAATTTTTGTAACTTTTCTTATTGATATTATTTTAACCATTTTTTCTATGAATAAAATTTAAAAAATGTTTATGTCGTTATGCTCATGAAAAAAAATGCATTGACGCCTGATCGGTAGGTATATATACCTTTGTAACTACTAGATATACCGCCATCATTAGGGCTCATCCATATTTAAGTTGGGAAAACGAAAAATCATCCTTCATGGAAGAAAAATAAATATATTGTACTAGATAATTGGATTGGATGCTTTTTCAAATTCTGAACGATTGCCCTAGGATCCCAGACATCACCAAATGTTTCTTGAATATACTGGAAAACTTTTTAAAATGTCCAGGGGCGGCGAGTATATTCGGGGGATTGGGGCCAATCCACCCATGTAGGCAAATACAGAACTTTATGCGAAAATGGAAATAGAATCAGTCGATTTTATCACTGATGGAGTGAAATTCATCTTAATCACAAATTTCCTTCATTTCATTTTCATCTAAAAACTGAATAGATAAGAGACCTACATCATTTCACTCCATTTGATTTTTCTGAAGATTCCATATTTACTCAAAGTTCTAGTTTTGTGATGATAATTATGTCTAGGGAATAGATTAGGATGGTTATAAATTTACACCAATCAAAATGTGCGGAAGCTGCGATGGCGTGATGCTATTTTTTCCGAGGTGACCAATTGAGAAAAATTCGTTCTAAGTAAATCTGTCTCTTTTGCCAATTTCAGTTTTATCAAATTGAAAAAACTTTGTGGGTTCAACAATATATATATATATTCATTCTAAATAAGCGACCTAGTCAAAAAGACATTATATTTTGTTGATTCAACATTCATCTCAGTTTTTTCAATTTATCAGATTTATGCATTTTATTTTCCGACAAAATACAAATAATTCCGATCACAGAGATATATTGTTGCATTATCAAGAAATATGTTGTTATTTCAAAGAGATTATTTGTTGAACATAACCAAGAAATAAATCATATCAAACAAATAATTTGTTGATTGAATATTTAGTAGCATTTTTACCACTTGATGGTGTTTCTCTCCACGTTCCTACTCTCTTCTCGATTGGGGTGTACATACAGTGTGTGAGATTCCAGCCCGCAACACTCTTCCAATTTGGAACCTGTCGAACGATTTATAAAAACAAAAAGTCCATAATATAGTACTCAACGAGCTCTATTCGAAAATGTAAAAAATTCGAAATATTCATATGTTTAAAGCCTACTTATTTTGTTTGTTGAGGGGGTCAACGTTTCAAAAACGACTATTAGGCATTTTTTTGTTAACTGTGACAAGCTTGCGAAAAACGGTTTACTCGAGTTTTAAAAATGATGAATCTCAACATTAGTTTCATAAGGTTTCATTGATTTTTGGTTGAGATCTTCCTGTGGAGGTTACAACGATAAAACGTATACAAGTATTCGATGTGTTTCTCCATTGAATGACTACTTCACCAGTTATATCAGTTTCTTAGAGTGAATCGAAAAATGAAAAATATTAAAATTTGCCATTGAATAACTAACACACTATTTGAGATAAAAATGTTGCGGGTTGAAATCACACACACTGTGTATACCTAGAACATCCTCTTCTGATTCACGCTGTTTTGTCCAGTGCTTGTTTGTCCAGCAATGTTTCATACCGGTTCTTGGATCTGTTGGTATGGATATTCCCAGTAAGCATCAAATATTCCATGAATCTCACTATTATATTTCTTTCGGAATATAACAATATTTCAGGGATGATCTGGAAAATTCTAGGAATAATCTGGAATATTCTCTAAATATGCAAATGTCAATTCATCAGATATTCATAGAATATGTCCAGAAGCATAGTATATATTGAATGTTCCTGGAATATTCCAATAAACATATTCTATAATAAAAAAGTGACCCAAGATGGAATCGAACCAGTGACTATCAGAGCAACGACTGAACCACTAGACCAGTTATCGAATTATATTTCTGAATCTCTTTACATCTAATCAATGTTTGATACTCACATCTCTAAAACTATAATTGGTGTTCATATATTGACAAACATGGGAATATTCATGGAATATTTTATGAATATACAACACATAATATTAATTCAGACATATTTCATGAATATACAACACAGAACATCTAGTTACGAATATTCCTGGAACATGCATGCCTGAATATTCCCTGAATAATCCAACAAAAATACTCTGAGAATACTCACTCCTGAATATTCCTACTGGAGTATTCCTTGTATATAACTCTGGAATATATTACTGGAATATCCACATTGGAATATTCCTTGGATGTTCTGGAGGCAAGTATATATTTTAGGAATATTCGGAATATCCAATGCTGTCGAAGCTTATGATCGACGGTTTGGGCTACTACGGACCAGAACAGCTCCAAATTTCCCCCCCCCCCCTCTTCTCACCGCTATACCATTCTCGACTGCTTTTGCGCTTACCGACATTTTGGAGGGGAGCCGGCAAATGCCGGCATTCAACATGTGCTCCGATTCTCTATTTCAGCTTTTGCGGCTGCGCTAATTTCTGGAAACGGATATTTTTAGGGCAACGTTGCCAAGTTGACCAAATTTTCGGATTTTCTTTGATACATTAAATTTAAATGGACTTCTTTATTTTACTTTACATATAGGTTTTATAACTAACATGTGATGAATAATATTGACATTTTCATTTCGCGAGTGAATAAAATTGATTATTGACAATATTTCTTCGAGTACCACAAGAATATTCATTAGCCAGAAATATAACTAAATAACAATAATATAAAATTTCGAATTCACACATATTCAGATGGAACTTGATACCGATCGATTCAATAAAGCTCGACGGTTTTTTTTTCATTCAAAATTTCACTCAAAACCATGTGTCATGTAAGTGTTCTGAGTAGATGATGTCGTGGACTTTGGATTTTAGGCCTTCTGAACAGGTACTATTGAAAGCAATTGAGATCTGATCGAAGACAACATCAGAAACATCTAAAATCTTTTTCATTTGGAAAAACTCCACAAACGATAAGATTTCCACAAAATTCTACGATGGTACCAGTATATCACCTGACGAAGCTTTTGTGCTAGCGAAACATGTCCTCTGTTTGAGAATTTTGTGGAAATCTTATCGTTTGTGAAGTTTTTACATCTGCCATGGATTTCCATCAAGTAACAGCCGAGTCAATTCAAAATTTTGTCATTCCTGGAGGTGCTTCCATTTTCTTGGATATTGTTCATTATTATAATTAGATACTTAATATCATCCTAGGGACATTTTTGTATTCAGTATGTAGGTATATAGTGAAAGAAATTGTGTCACATATTCACAACGGTAATTATTGAAAATAAAATGTGCTTCAATCATCAGTTTACCAAAACTATTAAAAGAAAGAGAATATATCGTTCCTGATTGATCCATCTATATTCTTCCTCAAAGCTTGCAGTGCCTCTAGATATCAAATAGGTCCACCATTTTGCGATTTCTTCCATTAAGAATACCAAAATGCTGATGGTTGTATGACTTGTATGTTGTTGACATGACGTATGTTACGTTAATGTCTGGCTTACCAATATTTCCCGGAAAAACTTCAAACTGACTTGGCAACGCTACAATGCGTATTCGCCTTCAGGCTGTAGATAAGTATACCTAAACCTAATTTGCGGTGGGTAGAGTTGAAACCAAAATTTCTTTCCTGACTAATTATTTGTACATCGCGATTACGATCAATTGTTTTCCAAGGTAGTGCTATAGTGAGTGTGAGCTTATCAGTCAAGCAAGCAACCGTGTTCTCGTTAAACTCCATCACGTTTGACTCTGAAAGGAATTCTGCTGAATGGTCGATTATGACATTTTTTTCACACTATAATTCATTCACATTAGCACTTGCACGAAAGAGAAAGAGGCTAAAGAATTATTAGCAGAAACTTGATAATTATAACTAGGTACCTTCTATAGTATTAAAAATATTTGGTTCATATAAAGATTTTGTTGGATTATTGTTGCTCGCTGTTAAAGAGTACAATCTTTTCGAGATATTAATTTATTGTTATAACATTTTTACATATTTAACTTTTTGAAAATGAAACCGATTAGTCTGTGATCATTATTAAAAATTCGTCTTCTTGCCGAATCGATTTGTTGATAAAAATTATAAAATGAACGGACACCAAAGGAACCGAAATGGCAATTCATACCACAATACCAGATATGCTACCGTGTTCTTAGAAGAGGATGCTAGCTTCGAGAAAAACCAGGGTAAGATTTTTCGTATTATGAAACTGGCATCAGTGCCATAAGTGTAGATCTCAAAATTATGGACTTGTGTTGAAATGTGCCGTAAACAAAATAAATTCAGATCAGATTTCTCAAATTCCAAAATTTAGTATTTCTGGCGATAAATATAGAGTTTTCTTCATTTTTTAAAATTATTTCTGTTCCTTATGTAATTTTCTCTGTTCTACTTTACTTTCTATACAACATATCCGTCAGTTTTTCATGATCCTGATATGTATATAGAGTCCTCGATATACGCAGGGTGCCATTGAAATAAGTGCAAATATTTCTAACACTGAAGAAGTTCGACGCGTACTATCGAATGGCACTAATAAAAAAATTCAGGGATCAAAATAAAATTTGAGGCTAGACCCCTTTTTCCACCCAAAGTTCTACACTGTAGCAAATCTGACGTCACCTCTGTTCAAATTTCTATACAGTATGCACAATCACGCGGAGTTCAATCATTTTAATTGTTTTATAGTGGCGTACTTGATTTTTTTCTCGTATTTTGTTCAATTTTTGGGATGAAATTTCTCGTTGAATAGAAGAATAGTGACTTCAAATCAACTACGAATTTTGGGACGTTCAATGGCTCCGGTAGCTGGAAAATCATGGTTTGGAAGGAAAAACGAGTTATACTTTTTAATGTTGAACTCACCGTTTCCAAGTAAATAATAATTACGTTCGCAAAAATGCTGTTTAGATGTGCCTGTTTTTTCGAAACCCTTCATAGGCATATTATGAAAATACACATATGTGGGTTTGAAACCATGAAGAACAATATGAGGTCAGTTTTCTTGTGAAAAAATGCCTAATATGATTTAATAAGAAACTGACCCCTATTCATTTCAATAAAAATGCACGGCACTGTCTAAAATTATGTTTGTCTTTGAAGAACTGGTCATATTGATGATCATCCATACCGATACAAATTTGGTAAAGATAGCACGACTGATAGCCGAGATATAGAGGGGAGCCCGTTTGAAATGAGACACGCTGTATAGTATATTGTGCCCCAAGAGCAGAAATTGAACTCTAGCAGCCCGCGGCTATTAGCTGCATGAGCTGAACGAGCAAAAAAAAAAGGAAATAGAACAAAAATCTTTAATTTATTCATGATTTATTGTGCTCCTGATTCCAAACTTTGATTGGCATTGAATGAAAATTTATATGAAACTTCAAAATACAAATCAGGAAAGTGACAGTGAAATGTGTCTAGATAGTGAAAAACTACGAAATCGTGTTGTTATGAGGTTACTTTCAGTACTTTCAGTCACATTTTTAGGGTTGATATGATTCATTTTTATATAGGTAGGTACCTATACCTACCTATATGTCTATAGGTAATACCTATACTACGAAAGCGTAGAAAGGCCACTGTTGTGTGTATTCTATTTTATTTCTTTATTCAGACTTTAAAGTCTGAATTCAGACTTTTTTCTCTGAATTCAGACTTTTTTCTCTGAATTCAAACTTTTTTGTCTGAATTCAGACTTTAAAGTCTGAATTCAGACTTTTTTCTCTCCATGAAGGATGATTTTTCGTTTTCCCAACTTAAATATGGATGAGCCCTAATGATGGCGGTATATCTAGTAGTTACACAGGTATATATACCTACCGATCAGGCGTCAATGCATTTTTTTTCATGAGCATAACGACATAAACATTTTTTAAATTTTATTCATAGAAAAAATGGTTAAAATAATATCAATAAGAAAAGTTACAAAAATTTGAAATTAAAAGCTGCTGAGCAGTAGAAAAACCAAACACAGAGAGACGGAACTGTTTGAAGCCATTTTTATATAAAATCCCGAGTAAAATCCACAAGATTGGTTGGTTATTCATTTGAAATGTTTCTCGCATTTTGATTTCCCTTCGAACTACATCACTTGGCAGTTTTGCGAAGTCCAAGTCTCAGATTGCAAATCGAAATAGGTATGTTCTCATTATTATTACGCATATTTGTTCTGAAGATGGTTACTGTGAGACTTTGCTTTGTAAACATAAAATCTAAGATGTAGTGATAATAATAGCAGGATCATTACCACAAAATGTTAAGAATTTCTAGTTGAAAAGATCGTCATCGGAAAACATGGCAACGAAGTCTATTCGAGAAAATCAGGGAGAATAAGTCTCAGAGAATCCTCGCATGTATTGGCTCAATGTGGAATGTGGCTATTAAAACTATACATTTATTGTCTCCAAATCTTCCACAGTCACTACGGATGTATGTATTGAATGACAAAAAGAACAATTTTACAACAATTTTTTTTTTGTTGCTCTTGGTCTATCGATCTAAAATATTTTCAGCAATGCAGCGTTGCCACTTATACCAGAAAGTAGTAGCAACTTTGATATTCCAAATAGAACACCCTGTATTTAATTGCATTTTCAGATTCTCCCCGAAGAGCTGATTCCATCAATGCACACTTGGGGTCTAGCGAGAATGATCACAGAGATAAAGAGGGGGTTCAAAATCGAGGTTTTTCAATTTTTAGTTTTCTTGTGTCGAAACTATTCATTATTGGTTTCATGTCCCTATTTTAACTTTCAATTCACTATCTACTGACATTTAATTGGAACAGATATCGGGTGATCATAATTCTGAATCTTGAACCTCCCTGTATTTGATCCAATTAAATGTCACTATAGGAATGCAAAGTTGAGATAAGGACATTAAAGCGGTTTTGACTGCTCCAATTAGAAAAAATTATTGATCATTTTAATCGTTTAGGTTTAGGGTTAGACCCGTTTTTCCACCAGAAGTTCTACACTGTAGCAATCCTGACGTCATCTCTGTGAGGAAGGCATAATCGAGCGGAACTCAATCATTTAAATTGTTTTTAAGTGGCGTACCTACTTGATTTTTTTTCTCGTTTTATGTTCAATTTTCGGAATGAAATGTCTCCTTAATTAGAAATATTCGGAAAAATCCAATATTATAGAAATTTTCGTTATACTGTATAATATCAGTGTGCTGAATAAATGTACTTATTACAGAAACACCTCGTATACTGACCAATTTAGAATAAGAATCGACAAAACAAATATCGATCCTTCCATATTTTGTATCTAATCTCAAAGAATTCATATCTACCATATATGTATGCAAGTAATCCTTCTTTATGAATTGGCTCATAATCTCTGGTTTAGATTTACTTAGTGACATAATATGCTAACCGCAATTAATTTGATACATCATGCGTCATTGGAATTAAAGATATCTGTTTCCTAATAATACGGATGATATGTACCTCCACGAACCAATATTTGTTTCTAGTAATATATACCTAAGTGTATATCTTAATCTCTGTTATATTTTTCAAACTAACTTCGAGACCGATTCTTACTGTTCTAGATTAAAGTTCTACCAACCACATTGAATACAACAGGAATACATTTCTACTTCAAATATCGAGAATTTAGTGGAAAGCATTTAGATATAATGAGCGTTGCATTGTTTCCATGGACATTATTCAGAAAACAATAGGATAGGTATATGGCATTAAAACGGATATCCGTCGAGACCAAATATAAAACATACCTACCAATTATTGAAGCAAAGTTGCAAAAATCATAAAGTACAACAATGTGATTTTTTGTTTCTTCTATAGTATCATGGAGCATATTTCAATTTACAGTTTATGTCCAAGTATAGATCGTTAAAAATAAAACGGTGACTACAAGAACAGAAATAAAGTAGCTTTAAAAATGAAAAAATACATTTTGGCACATGCTGATATTTAGGTTGTTTTCAAAATAACCCTATATCTTGATCAGCGTAACGGCGGAAAAATAGTATTCCAGACTTTCAAAATCTGATGCCACACAATGTTTAATGCTTCACAAAATATATAATGCTTTTCAACATTGAGACATTTTCAGAGAAGCATTTCGAATGGCATTTTCACACGCAAATAAGCACCAAACATTGAACATTCGTATCATTATGCTCATTGCTCTGTTCCAATTGATATCTACCATGAGTTTATAGGGTTGTGAGGTTGCGAGTTACAGGGTGAGTCATGAGGAACTGTACATACTCCTACCACGAATAGAGGCCGCTGAGGGAAATACCCGAGGAAATACCTAATGTCCATCAGAAAGTTTCTTCTTCACTTATTTTCCAATATATAGAGTGAATCATAAGATTCGGCAAAACATCTTTTGATCATAACTTTTGATCAGCTTTTTCGATTCGTCTGATTTTTTCATGGAATATTCCGCTACTACTCTCTAATCCACTGACTTTTTCAGAATCAGAAAAATCCAGTACCGTCCTCGAAAAATTTTGATAGTTCAGTTAATAGCAAATAGTTCATCCTGTATATCGTTTCTGTAAACTGTGACAGGGGATTCTCAAAGGTCACAACCAAACATCAGGAATGAAATATTTCAAAATTTCCTCATATTTTCACTTCAGTTCAAGAAAATCCATGAATCTTATGTAAAAACGAGAATTTGGCAAAAAATCTATACGAATAAAAGAGGAACTTACATTTTCAATGCTTCAGCTCGATTTTTGTGGAGGATAATAATCACCCTGTAGATCTTCTTTGAATCAGTGGATGATGAGGTATATGTGAAAATGTTGATGGCCATCGCTATAGATAATCTTATGATGTCAAATCACAGTATCATCTATTCGATTTGTTTTATTTTGTATATTTGGTCACTTATTTTCCGTACTGAAATTATTATCCGCCTTTGTCAGTATAGCTTCTGAAAAATAATTGTGAGTGAACCTTTATTTTCTGTTAGACTATCTTGAATTATTTGAATCGATGACCATTAACATCTAAACAGATACCCCATTCACTGGTCCGAAAAAGATCTACAGGGTGATTATCACCCTCCTCAAAAAATTAAATGACAAAATCCAGGCCTGGTAATGAAAGAACACATTGATTCCCATTGGGCTGAAGCATTGAAAATGTGAGTCTCACTTTTATCTGTGAAATTTATCCGTTGCGGAGTAACTATTATTCAATGAATGAATTTGTTGTCGAACTTTCGTTTTTGCTTAAACTTTGTCATTTTTTGTGAAATTCAGTGAGAGTGTGAGAGGAATTTTGAATATATTATTTCTGATGCTTGCTTATGTGCTTTGAAAATTCCCTGTCACGGTTCACAAAAACCATATACAGGATGAACTTTTTGATAAAAACTGAACTCTCGGAATTTTCTGAAGACGGTCCTGTATTTTTCCAATTCTGGAAATGTCATCAAAAGATGTTTTTGCCAAATCTCATAATTCACCCTATATATTGGTAAAGAAGGGCCTCTATTCGTGGTAGGAGCATGTACAGTTCCTCATGACTCACCCTGTATCACACGTCGTGTTCCGCAATATCTTGCCTTCTCTTGGTAATTTTTATACTAAATATATTATTTTTCTCATGTTCGGTAATCCTGCGATGAATCAAACCTTATCATTATGATATGCATACTTATACAGGGTGTTTCATTACTAATTGGGAATATTTCAACCATAGAATCCCAGACTCAAAATATGAAGATTTAACCCAAATCACCTAGATAAAATATGTTTCCTGTCTGAGTCTGAGAGAACTATTTGACGTACCACTTTCATATTTGGAGAGAAGTGTAGGTATTATACACCCAACTGAATTATGTGAAATGAACTTTTTTAGCTATTACCAGAGGCGTACGACAGGGGCAATTAACTGGTCGAACTCTCCCAAATTCTACGCCACTGGTGGAATTGCAATTCTATCACAAATTTTCGATTCTCCAACAATTTTGACGTAGATATTTTACTCTTTCTCCATGACAATAAAGTCATTATTTTTCGAGATATTTCAAGTTGAACATGAAGCAGCACAATTATTTTGATTTTAATGTGTATCAATAATGTCGATATTTTGAATCAATGGACTGCATTCATCAATCAAATGAAACTTCAATCCATATTAACATTCTGTATATTGAATTCTCACTTCATTCCAGGATGGTTCGGAACTCGTCACCTGGTTACTTTTATGCTTTTCCTGGGTATGGCCAATGCTTACATCATGAGAACCAACATGTCAGTAGCCATTGTAGCCATGGTAAACCATACAGCTGTTAGCAATACACATCACGACGAAGGTTTATCTGTTGATGACGAATGTGGCCTTATAACAAATGAGAATACTACCGTAAGTACCTACTCACCACCAAATACCCATTGACTCCACTCAATGCCTGACAATCTGACTTTTCCATAAATATTGTTCTTCAATCATCACAGTCTCTCTCATCGTACCTTTTGTTTCATTGAATGATTTGAATATCCCAGAAAACACAAAAGTAAAATCATTCCCATAGATGTCCAACTATAGATTCCCTGATGGAAATCCATTTGATGAACCAGCATATACATATTCCAGTGTATATGTTCAATGGACATACATTGTATATAGGAATATGTTGATCATGCATCATTTAAAGATTTTTGACCATCATTCGAACGAAAACCATAGGAAAACACAGAGCCAATAGAAATTAGAGCACCAATAAATTATGCATCATCTTATAAAAATATTCATAGTAACGAGTGTGACAATTCCAAAAAATTTTAAACAGTATCGGGAAATCATATGATGCGATATTTTTTTGACCCAAAAAAAATTAGAAAAATGTTTTCTCAGACGGCAGGCCTTTGAAATTTTCGGAAAACTGCACAGCTTTGATTATCAACCTGTAGAATCTCATTCCGAAGAGATGCAATAATCATGTTGTCTATCAGTTCGTTAGTCAATGAAACGAGTATACAGAAACTGAGAAAGAATCGAAAAAGAAGGCAACGAAAGTTATGATGATTCAAATTGAAGACCACAGGAGAAAAATGGGGAATATAACAATATAGTCAAAATTGATCTGACACCGCCATCTCATAGCCTAACCACAATATTTTAGTATAGTATATCCAATATCAATTGCAGAATATCCCGCACTGTGCGGCGTCGGCGTGTTTGAAATTTCCTTTGAAGTGACTGCAGGTGCGGTACAAGATTCTGCAATTGTTTTTGGATGAACATTATACACAGAAGTCTATAGCATTAACGCAGCATAGTCAGGGAATATACTCGTTTGAAAATACGGAAACATGGGAAGAACATGGAAGGTCCACATCAAAAATGTGAAAAAAGGGGAACGTCCAAGCTTATTTCTTGCTCAAATACAGATCTCATTGTGATTTAGACAGTTTGTTTTTTTAGGTTTTTCAAAAGTTCGAGGAGAATAGAAAGGGTTGGTCGATAATGAGATTTTTTGAATTTTATGAGATTATAAGTACTTGGGATTTCTCTGTCTGGTGAAAAATTCTATAGCTTTGTCGGTGTATAGGATAGAGCTTATTTGAACGGAACATTTTTTCAGAAGGTTATTTGAAATGCAGTCGTAACCACTTGCATTCGAAGTTTTCAAAGATTTTATGCAATCTATAACACCAGCTTCAGTAGCTGGCACCATATATACAGGGTAACTCACGGTCGATGGTACGTTAGACGTTTATGGTGAACGCAACTCAGGATTTTTCTGAAAATTTCGCATCTTCCATTTAATCACCTGTTCTATCGATCTAAAATATTTTCGAAATTGCGACGTTGCCGTTTCTATCAAAAAGTCATAGCAACTTCATTTTTTTAAATGGAACACCCCGTATATTAACAAATTTCTAGAATAGCCTTTCTATTACAATACTCTTTTGTTAATTAATTCCTATTCCTATCTCTATCGGTTTTCGAGATGAAAAATATACCTACTATTATTAGATATATTGTTGACGTTTTGACATAATTATTTTGATGCATATCCAGGAGCATTCATTCTTAGTGCAGAAAAAGATTTGGGTGTATCACATGCTTCAGTACAAAGAATTTTGGGAAATCACAAAATGCATCCGTATAAATTCAGTAAAGTACAAGCTCGTAGTCAATATTTTCGCTCGCTCGATCCATTGAGAAATACTTGATAAATTTACTAGCAGTCATGTCATCAGAAAGTTTTTTCCCATCTTCTAATATCGTTATTACTGTACTAACACTGTTTTTATTCTGAATTTCATTGATACATTTCCATTATTCGGAGAGCCAGATACTTTTTGATTGATAATGTTTCTTCTGTGTTCCTTCAGTTTTTTTTCTATATGTTTCTGTTACTTGTTTTCGGGGTTCGATGAAATTTTCATCTATGTTCGAAAGTTCATTATAATAAGTTACTAGACTTTTCAACTCAAAGAACTCTGGCGATAAATTGATTTTCATGTTGCCTCCTACTTTCACATTTCTCAGAGGGTACATTATTAATGTTCGATGAAATGTTTTTGTAAAAACTGCCCAGTCTTCATTATCCAGTATTCATGGTTATATCGCGTGAAATTTGTAGAAAATGATCCAATTATAAGAATGCTGGAAGTACCTATGACAACTTATCACTCATAAGGTAGTGTTAGGCAAGAAAAGAGAAATGTAACAAAGCAGATAATGGGCGTGTACACCTCTGTAGAACTTTTAACTCAAACCATGTTTATAATGGTCCTTTTATACATAGATAATGATTGATGACATAATTCGATCGAAAAATTAACTGGAATGTTTTATTTTTGGACATAAATAATAGTACCTTCTGAAAACGAACCCTCTTATGACGTAAAAACCTCATCTCGCCATAGTTGAAAGAAAATACCAAACGCCCAACGGAGACTGAGGCAACTGATATATTAATTCTTTCAACTGTGATCTCGCGCTAATTCACTCTCTCAGAAATCATGTATCATTCGTCTCTGTCTGGAATAGTCTTGTTTCAGTATTAGGGTTTTGACGTCACATCATCGCCTTGTTTTCAGAGGTCCGAAAAATCGGGGATTTCAATAATTTATTATAAAACGTAGGGAGCTCACAGCAAGAAACGGTTTGCGGTGGTGAGCTAGTTTGGGTGAGTTCTATCGAATTATGAAATAAAATTTTTTTGTGATATAAGCCCATTGCGAGTAAACAATCCTCCATTTTGACATTCCATTTGGACATTCCTCATTTTTTCCTTGAATCTTTGTACATATTTTGTGTTAAAGATTATTTTTCTCAATCAAATACGATTTTTATTTTCAGTTGTTTGACTATATTGCTCAATAAACTTGATCAAATGGACCCAGGTGGTTTGATTTCAGTTTCCTTCAACTTACAAAAAGTTAGCCGGTTTTAAACTTTGAAATGCGTTTTTCTCGAAACATACTTTTTGTGATATTTCCCCTTTTTCTCCTGTGGTCTTCAATTTGATCGAAAAAATGCGATGTAACGTTTCATGTGTATAGCAGTTCATTTCTCTGTAGATTTCCAAAAGTACCGAGCTGGATGGTGAGTTCATTTGGGAAACAGACATTCAAGGCTACGTCCTCAGCTCGTTCTTCTATGGCTACGTGCTGACCCAGATACCCTTCGGGATCCTGGCCAAACGCTATGGAAACATCTACTTCCTGGGCATCGGAATGTTGATCAACTCCTTGTTCGGTTTGCTGGTGCCGATAGCTGCGAAGATGGGCATTTGGTGGCTCATCGCTGTCAGGTTTATACAAGGACTTGGCGAGGTGAGTGGACAGTTCTGAAGAGTACAAAGTGGGAGAAGCATATTTTTCTCTCTGTCTCTCTCACTTTGATACTTGGCATGTGTTTTCAATTGTACCTTTCTGGTCAGGGCCCTATTGTCCCATGCACACACTCGCTTCTGGCAAAATGGATTCCCCCTAATGAGAGAAGTCGAATGGGAGCGTTCGTTTATGCAGGTACTATTTTTTCTGCCATGTCGAGATATCAAACAGTATAGTATAATGTGTGCCACTTGTATGGGTATGTAGGAAATGCGGTGGTATGACATTTTTTTTTCAATATTTTTAGTCTATAGATAATCACCAGAAGAGAAAAACAAATCATCATTCGTCTTATTCAGATAAGTTATTTTATAGATGGAATCAATCCAGATTCGTTCATTGCCTCTGAATATTAGAAAATATTATATGCCGACAATTATTTGGTCGACTAACTCTTGATTGTTGACTTACGTTTGATCAAAGACTTATTGATGTTACATCATTTTATGATCCTTCAAAGAATATACCTATATTATTCTTTTTTGACACATAATTAAAAGATTCCTGAGTACTTATCACTAGGAATGTATTGTTTTATTTTTCATTTCAAATAAATATATCCAATTACATCGTCATTCATTCAAACATTAGAATGGATACAAGGATAAATAAAATTTGTTATGTTATAGTAACTCAATAAATATTTCATCTATATTATAATTGTGGTTTTGCTGAATTTGCATTTTTATAATGATGTGACAAAAAGTTGAGCTGCATACAATCAATAATATTGATTGAACTAGTCAACATTTTTCAAAATGTTATAGGTCAGGTCTACTGCTTGAAATTCCAAGGGCGTTTAATTTTGTCACTATTTTGTTTGCTGAAATATCAATTTATAAATGATGTATGAACCTATTTTCTTTAGTTACTTACCTAGTTGAAATTGAGATATTCTTGATTTCTTGAAGCATGAAGAAGTTAAATTATAAATAAATATGATTTCACTTACAGAATATTTCAGGAAATTAAAAGGAGTTTTAAGAGTATGATACATATATTTTATATTGCCAACTAGTTGCATCAATAGTTTCCAAGACATTTTAAAATCATCGCTTCTAAAAATTCTCATATTGAGTAGTAGATATTTTCACAGTGAGGTGCACCAAAGTAAAGAAATAATACCTAGAATATATTAGTGTAGTTTCTATGATGCGTCTTAACTGCCGTCCCAAAAAAACCTTTTCTTCACGAATATTTGCCTAATTCATTGTTGCAACTGTGGATTAGTGCTAATATACAGCTGCAACTGCGAAAATTCGCGAAAAAATAGTAATAATTCATTTTCGTGTAATTTTAATTCAAAGGGAATGTACTTTTGCAGCATCATTGTGAAGAAATCTAGTACATATTATTGTGAAACAGTTCTATATTATTTTTATTTCATTCTAGGGGCCCAATTTGGAACTGTGATATCAATGCCTCTAAGTGGTCTACTTTCAGAATGTAGATATGGCTGGCCTTCCATATTTTATGTTTTCGGTTTCATCGGAGCAGTATGGTGTGTTTTCTTCCTAATTTTGATTCACGAAGACCCTCAGAGCAATCAAAAAATGAAATCCGAAGAGAGATTGTATATTCAAAAACAATTAGGGAGTAAAATTGGACTACCGGTAGGTACTATCCAATTATTCAAGTTCGGATCATGATCATTACTTGAGTATGCTCTATTATATTATCGTTGTTTAGGTACCACCAATTCCATGGGTGTCAATTTTGAAATCTCTGCCCTTTTATGCAATCCTTTTGGCTCACATGGGTCACAATTATGGGTACGAAACTCTGATGACTGAGCTGCCAACTTACATGAAACAAATCCATCATTTCAGTCTCAAGAGCGTGAGTATTTTATTCGAATTGAATTGATTTCGAGTTGTCCTCGGAATGAATAAATATTTTCGACTTTTGTTTCTTCAGAATGGAATTTTATCTTCGCTTCCATATTTGGCCATGTGGATTTTCTCTATTTTCATCAGCCATGTCGCCGACTTCATGTTGACCAAACCTTACTTCACCCATACAAGTGTGAGGAAGATCATCAATGGTATTGGTGAGTAATTTATAATCAAAATTGATAGCACGAGAGTTCTTCAAATTTTTCAGATATTTTTATTGATATATGGCAAACAACTCGATTGGTAAAATCACGATTTCGTCAGAACAACTGATGATTTCATCTAATTTATTCTGTTTTTTGCCTGAAATAAAGAAGTTTGAGTGATGAAAATATAAAGTTATCTGGGCCCGTGGGAGATTCTTTTGATACTATAAAAACTGCCGATTGGATTTTGTTGGGCCAGGTTGCGCTTATCCCGGTCTTCGTTCTGCTAGCTGTAGACTTCCCTACACTGATGAGAGCCGAAGGAGCTCGAAACCGGTCTGTATGTGTCGTTAATGCGTTAAACTGGGTACATCGAACTCAACGTAATGCAATGTTTGCGTCGCATTACCCAGGAAAGTTGTTGTTTTCCTTCGGTCATCTACCATTGTTGTTCATCTTCGAACTTTTCTTTATTTATCTGAAAAGTTGTCTCATGAAATTTGATGAACTTATTTTTTTTCCAATTTTGGTAGGAAAAACAATTCACTAGCAAATTATAGAAGTCAAATTGAATTTGTGGTATTTCTACTATGATCGATCGCTCACCCACTCCACGTAATTACAATTTTCAAGTAGGCAATACAATGTTTGTGCTATTATTTTGAATGACAATCAAAATGGTTATGTTTTGTTCTCTAACTGATTTGATTGTTACAAATAAAATATGAATCAAGTAAAACAAAATGTCATACGTGAGTAAATTTTATCAATTTCGACAATAATTCAAAATGTAAACAAGGTTTGGATGGAGGAAGAGCAGTTGTATCAGTCTAATGCCGAATGATTGGTCAGAATCACATATTGCTATTGGTTCAAATAACTAGAATGTGAGAATACAACATGTGAAAACAAAGCCAATTTAACATCATAATATCACAAACTCAAGATTTTTATTTGTTTCTTCAATGGGATTGTACACACCAGTCGAATTTACGACAAATATTTATTTGATATTGATCATTCCGTTTAAGGTTTACAATATGCGCACGGGACGTATAGTTTGGTTGTTTTATAAACAATGGCAGCACAGATGATTTTTGTTACCCTACCTACTGTCAGATTTACAAGCCTTCGGTAAAATATTGCAACGTCAAGTTTTTTTTATAATAGAGGTGTAAAAAACAGTGTTTATGAACTGCAATATCTTGTGTTCCATACATGGCTATTGAAGCTCAGATCATGATTGAAAGCAATCGATTCAAAGTAACAATCGAGAAAAAAAGATAATCTAAGACCTAATGTATCTTCCTGTGTATAGCAATAAGCCTACCATGCGGGGTTGGCAATATGCGCATGGGCTACAATATCTAAAGGTACGTCAGCACCTAAAGAAGAAATTCTTGATATGCCCCTGTGTAATGTCAGCCAAAAATATATATTCATGGGGATTGTGTGGGTTAAACCTAATCTCTGGTTCAACTAAGGATATCAAAGTCATTTTCAATTATAGGGCTAACATTTCCACTCTCACCAGTTGGTGCTACTAGAACATGTGGTCAATGTCAAAGTCAAAAATCCTGAAATTTTGCCGGATAGCCCTAGAAGCTATGGCCTGTTTTATCGAAAATAAAAAAAAAAATGATGTAAAATATTCGAACAAATACTCATTTTACTCTCAATGTGGAACTTCACCACCAATTCTTGCATTGGCGGACAAGAAGATAGAGCAAAAGGTCAAATGACACGAACATACGAAGTATATTATCAGTTCTAGCATCACTGACCTCATGTTTGGGTAGCGCGCTTTGTGAACTATTCGTTTTTAAATAAAAAAACTTCACAAACGATCATATTTCCACAAAATTCTTCTAATCACACCAAATGTTTCGCTAACACAGTAGCTCCATCAGGTGGAAAACTGGTACAATGAAATAAACTCAGTTTCTTTCCATCAAGTAACGTCCGAGTCAATTAAAAAAAGAATTGTTTCAATTTATAGATTTTGTTATTTTTCAGGTCAATTTGGTCCAGCCATTGCCTTGATAGCAGTTTCATATACCGGATGCGACAAATGGTTAACGGTGGCCCTTCTAACAATAGGAGTTGGTTTGAATGGTGGCATCTACTCTGGTTTCAAAGTCAACCACCTCGACATATCTCCACAATATGCGGGAATCCTCATGTCGTTCACTAACTGCATGGCCAATCTAGCTGGTCTGTTGGCACCAATTTTTGCAGGAAATGTTGTAGTCGGAACGGTGAGTTATTCATATATGTATATACACAGACCATTACAATTAGGGGAACTGGCAAAATTTACACAAAATTTGACATAAATTTTGTCAATAATTGTAGCTTGATTCTTCACGTATACATGTGTCGAATGAACACCTTCAAACGATTCGTCTTAATATCATATACAGAGGTCGAAAGAAAGTATGGATTTTTCGGTATTTTTGAAGACATCCTTCGGAGTGAATCATGGACAATTATCGACACCGGTCTATGTAACAAAATTGTAGCTTTATCTTTTTCGAACATTATCTTCTTTTATTTATACTGATATCTCAATAATTCAAGAAAATACAGAGTTTCAAAAGAAATGTGGAGATTGGTATTAATCGCACCACTTCGAAACTCGTTTCTCAAGTTGTTTCTCTGGAAATTCTCACTTCAAGTTGAATATTGCTATCAGTTTTACACATCAGTCTATTGTGTCAAGAATTCTCAAAAATATACAGAGGTGATTGAAAAGATGTAGTTTTCTCAAAGCCTTCATTCAATAACAATAACATTAACTTAACGAACAATAAAGATTCAAAACACCTAAAACGATTTCAATAACGTGTGTGACCTCCACGCGCCCTTATTACAGCAGTCGTTCATCTTCTCATGCTTCCGATGATGACATATTCAATCTTTCTTGAGGAAGAATATCCCAAATATCAACCAGAGCTGCTACTACTTCCTCGAAATTTTGTACAGTGAGAATTCCCTTAATCGTCTACCAAACAGCATGTTCCATACATCTCAGATTCGATTAATGTCTAGGGAACATGCAGGCCAATCCATCTTATTCCGACTGTATTTAAAAAGTTGAAGACTTAACCAGCCACGTGCATTATCGTGCATCAACAAGAAGTTTTCTCCGATATGGATGGTGAATGGCACGACATGCTGTTGAAGTACGTCCCGTATGTCTGTATTCAAAGCGCCTTTAACAACTACCGACTCTGTTCGTGCTCCTTAACATGTTCCAACCCAGACCATTACTGAACCTCCGCCATAGGTGAAAGTAGCAGCAGAGATGTAGCAGTAAAATTAAACTGTTCCTTTGGTCATTGTCCCAATTTACATGCTGCCTAGCGAAGCGAAGTTTTGCCACCCGATAACGTCGCTGGAGTTGTGGAGATTTCTTTGTTCGATGGGCCCTCAGACCAACTTCTTTGAGTCTTCTGCTGATATTCTGATGACTTGTTCGTCTTCCACGTACTTCTTTCAGTTCGTTTATCATTTGCGATACGGATCTACGCCTGTTTCGTAGTATTTGGGAGATTAAAAATCGGTCATCTCTAGTCATGGTTTACCGTTTTCTTCCTTGGCCTCGTCTCCTCACGTACTCTTTTCTGTTTGTCTCTAACGTCTCACATTTCAATAAATCGTAGATTTTTATTTCATCAGCATGTCATAGTGATATCAGTGTACGATCTACCATTTTCAATAAATACTACTGCCCTCGTCACATCAGTAGGAATCATGTCTCCCACGTTGAATTTTCAATTATTGAAATTATGAATTTAGAATTATGAATCGCTTGACTTTGACGATAAAACTCAATAAATTCTCTTGAAATTGAGATATCAACATGAATGAAAATGAAAATATTCGGAATAGATTGGGTCACAATTTGGTGTTGAGAAATCTTTACAACCATCAGTGGTTCACTCCACAGGGTGTCTTGAAAAATACCGAAACATCCGTACTTTCTTTACACCCCTGTATATGATATAAAGACAAATCGTTTGGAGGTGGTTATTTGTCAGATGTATTCCTGAAGAATTAAGGTACAATTCGTGAAAAATAAATTGGAATCGAGCGATGGGTTCAAGAGAAAATTGATGTTAAACTTAGTGTAAATTTTGCGCGTTCTCCTAATTATGCCGGTGTGTGTATATCGTACCAACTTGAGTTTCAATATTCCATAGTGAATAAGTCATTTTACAAATAATGGATCCACTCTGTATATTTTAGCCAAGCATTGCAAAGTGGAGGACAGTTTTCGTAACAGCGGCTTGTGTCTATGCTGGTTGCTGCACCTTCTACGTCATCTTCGGTTCTGGCAAGCGGCAAGTGTGGGACCAACCTCCAGAGGAACCAGATACGAAGAAAAAGGAGAATGATGAACCCGAAATGGTCACCACTTATGCTTGAATCAAGCGAATGTGATATTTTTGTATGATTTGAAATTTGTTGACCAACAGATCGTGAATTTTACAGTAGCCGAAAGGTATTAGAAACTTCTCAGGTACAGAATATTTATCCTTCATAGATTCTTTGAGATGAATCTATGGGCTTTGCCCATCTTGGTCCGGAAAAAGAATATTTCAGGTGTATGACTTTTAATGATCTCAAAAGAATTGTTCAGCTCGGCATAAAATGAAAATCAATTATATTTTCATCAACAGTGTAATAATGGAATAAATGTTGCTTTGTTTGTAGAAGGGAACTATCTACCTCATTCACATAAAAAAGTATACTACTCTTCATGCTAACCTAACTTGATTCAGCATGAATACACTCATTTTCTCTCTCAAAAAATACTATATATATTCTTCTTGGCCTAAGAGAGGCGAAAAATGTATTAGTGTATCTAATTGTTTGTATTTATGCCAATTTAGATTATATTTTGTTACGAAGAATATTCTCGTTTCATCACTAACAAGTGATAAAAAAATAGTTATTTTTGTATCTAGAGCGCGAAATGCTACTTTGCTGATCGAGATCTGATTTCTTTGACGAGGCGTAGCCGAGTTAAAAAAATAGTCGAGATAACCAAAGTATTTCGCGCTCTAGTTGCAAACAAAATTTTTTCTACAAACGCCAAAAAGATAGTTCAAAGTAAAAATATGCTTAGCTTGATATAAAAAATAGTGTTGAACTGGCTTAAAAGGCCTCCCCCTATCCTCCCTAGATACGCACGATGTTCCACGAACATAATAGGAATTTTCTTTCGTGCGCTCCAAGAGATAAAACAAAATTATTGTTGAACATTCAGAAATAAATGATTTTGTGGATGTTTGCTCGCTTGAGGACGATAAAGTTGAAAAATATCTCATATATTTTACCTAACAATGCGCGAAGTACCTACTTCGCGCACTGTTTTACTTCGCGCATTGTTTTGTGCGAGGTATCATAGTAACGTAGGAAACATTGTCATTTTTTGACGTTTGTAGAAAAAAAAATATTAGACCAAGATGGGAAATTTTCAACATGTCACTACTATAGGGTTAGGCTGTTTTGATGCAGCATATCTGCTTTCTCTGGCCAATATGGGGCGCCCAAATGTCTGTATCCTTCTTGATTACTATATATCCCTCAGTATATGTACTTTAGCAGTTATATTTTATATTTCTTATTGGAAAATATAAGCTGAGTTTTGAAGTAGGTAGGTAGTACTGGAGAAAACCAAGATAGTTTATTCACATATAAAGCAACTTGTAGGTTTCCGTACACAGGGTGTTTTTCAAGTTGGGTTAGTTTTTTCCACATGACATAAAATCTCGACAATAGACTGAGCAAATTCTTCTTTTACGTTATAGAAATGATGATAAATCATGAAAATTTCGATTGCTACATATTTGCGATAATAAAACATCGAAAACAGGTAACTTGAAGAATTTGCTCAAATTCATCTTGTTATGTCATGTTGAATGCGGACCACTAGCTCGAAATCGCTATTTATGTGTATTAGGACATATGAATATTTTATTAATGCTCATCTTTCAATTTGAAAAGTGCCTTCTTTATAATCTTGCGAGTATATCGAATCGAATACCTGGAAAATTATGTTTTTATTTATTACTTATTATTTAAAAGATCTTAGATGAATAAATATTTTCATTTTATTGATTGTGTTTGATTTATTCCAGGAACAAAAACTTCTTCCACTATTAGTATAATCAAAAACAGTATATGATACAAGTAGATAGGTATGTACATACATGTACTTTGTGAGTGAGTTTGTGTGTATGTGTGGCCATTGATCTCATAAAATTTCGTTCACCTAATATAGATATGTGTTCGGTGTAGGCATTGTTACTTAACCCTAAACGCCACCCTATTAGCATCACTGTTAATTCAAATGCAACAGTCGATTGCGCCACCACTGTCCAAGCTTTGTCCTCGTATTCTTTTTCATGTTCTGGTTCCCACGAAAAGGGTTGTCCTGTAATGTTTATAGAGAACATCGTGAGAACCAAGGGAAATAAGGTAGGAATTGGTGTTTTTCTTGAATTTCTGGAAGTTATATGCCTCGGGGAATACCTCCCTTATTTGGCAATGGGTTCCAGAGCCTTGCTGTTCGTTGGATGAACGAGTCTTAGGAAAGAGATGTTCTGCAGGTCTCCAAAGAGTGACCACGAAGGGATGCGAAGCCTCAACTCGACGGGTTAATCTCGCGGGGACTGCCAAGGGATGTACAATTGTTGATAATTCAGAAGAGCATCGTCCATGAAAATATGATATGTAGTTATTTTTCGCAGTAAAGTTGATGACATACCATATCACATTGAAAATATTATGAAGATTCCAGATGAAGAGGGATTTATACATACCTAAGCCATTGTCGTTATCTTAGTGCTAGGTCGCATCAGCAACTACTGAAACGGTCGTTAAGTAAGTAATATATGATGAATGTGATGTTCTTGAGTTATTTCAGTAAGGTTATATATTGCAGCATTGTATTCCAAGTACAGTAACATAGCATATTCAATGAAACTGATGCCATTTTAATGCTACCCTATTGCAATATGGCAGAATGGTTACAAATTTTCTTTCAATTTACTCTTTTCTAATCAACTCGGCCGTTAGGGCCACTTTATAAAAAACTTTGAGACTTAAGATTTATCACCTAACATTTAAGGCTTATCACTTAGGACAGATGGAACATGGAAATATCATTGGTTATGTTATAAAACCATTTAAGACTTATGATTTAACATTTAAGATTTAAGAAGATGACCAACTTTCAACTTAATAAGTGCTGATAAATGATCATAAATGGAATAAGGAGTACGCATCAAAAAGTGACATCTCAATTTCCCGCCATTCAAAAATAATTCAAAATATCTTGTGTTGTTATTCCTGAATATTTGTTTTTCTTCTGATGAATACTGAACAGTTCTCCAAAAATACACTAGAATGTCGATGGCAACTCTGTTGCCTCCATATTTGACAAAAGATCCAAGGAGTGAGCCAGTTTCTAATAGAGGCAAGTGATTACTTTCAAAATGATGTGGAGATATGATGGATGTGGGTATCATTTCAGGGATATGAATATAAATTAATAGAATGGATATCAGAACATGAAATTTTTATTTCCAACCAGTTTTTCTAACTTACTAAACTTTGAAAATCTGGTTCTGTATCAGAAACTAGATGTCAGGAATGACAGAAGACATGTATCGCCCTAGAATCTTAATTTTTTTATAACTGACTCCACTTTAGACTCTCAAGTCTTAAATGTTAAATTGTTAAATCTTAAATGCTGAAAGTTTTTATAAAGTCACCCTAAACTTCACGAACTATAAGATTTCCACAAAATTCCTATAATCACACCACATGTTTCGCTAACACAGTATATAGCTTAATCAGGTGATATACTGGTACAATGAATGAATGTTCATGTTTATGTATTTACCCCCGAAAAAAACACGTTTCCTGAAGGTGGCTGGTCCGGAGCTAGTCCAGAGTAATGTGGAACGAACCAAGTATTTGATATAAATCAAGTGGTTTCTTGAGATTTTTCAATCTAGGCCTTTCTATTCTAATATTAAAAAAATGTATCTAAATTATGGAAGTAAACGGATATAAGTATAGACAAAATAATGGAAGAAACGATAAGAAAAATTTTATTGACTCACATTATCTAGAGCTCAGAGGACAACAGAATATAAATTCATAAAAATATTGTTAGATAACAAGTGGGGTACGTAGTTTTTGAAAGGTATCAGATTAGTATAGATGTAGTTTTCATTAGGTATTAGATTAGTATAGGGGTCAGATAATTTATACGACGCTATAAAAGCAGATGATATTTTATCATTGCTCATGTAAGATGGAAGTAGAGGCCATGGCACCATATCATGAGCATATTTTTATATTGAAACTATCATTATAGGCACCAAAGATGTGTATACGACGCTATGAAAGTTCAGAGAACTGGAGATTTTTCCCACAAACTACGTACTTAGCCCACTCGACTGTCTTGGTTTTTCCACACAAACTACGTACCTAGCCCACTCGACTGCCAATAGGGACTGAAAAAACAAAAACAAAAGAAAGTTAAAACTTTGCCAACATATTTCTTCTTTGTGGGAAATCAAGACAGTCGAGGGAGCTAGGTACGTAGTTTATGGGCAAAAAATCAAGACAGTCGAGTGTGCTTTTTTCACTTTCTTTTGTTTTTTGTTTCGTCTTCTATAAGCAAGTGATTATCTAGGAACTTGTAAATTTTTTAGTTTTTTCATCGTATCTCCCGAACTATTGAATTCAGAGAAAAATTTTATGAGGATTGTTTGTAGATTCTATCAATAGGAATAATTTAGGTTCTATAATATTTTCAGATATTTCCAGTTGTTTTCGAGATATTTGGAATTATCTGGGAATAAAATTTTCAACATATTTGTTCCATCTTCCAATCAACAAAATGAAAAAATATTTCATGGTTCAGTGGAAGTCGATGAGCTTCATCAATCGATAATCTTTGTTTTTCAATATATCTTCATAGTACCCTATGGGTCGTTAAATTTTTTTTTTCATATTCTTCACTTCATTTCCTGTACTATTGGGTTTACAGAAAAAATTATGTAATATAATTTGTAGGAAATGTTCCAGTGGATAACTTTGCACTCTTGATAATTTTCGATTTTTCCATTTGTTTTCGATATATATTGAATTGAAAGGATTTCAAATTTTGATGTTTTGATTTTCATTTGTTTTTCCATTTTCCGATGGATGCACGAAAAAATGGTTAAATAATAATTTGTTGCGTCATCAAAGAGGCATACGGTGCATTTTTCAAATTTGGATTTAGTCTATTGGTTCAGGAGATATGTCGTTTTAAAGCGAACCGTGGGTTTCGGAAAGTCTCCTTGAAAAACCCACTTGAAATTTTTCAACCCTGCTCAATTTCAATAGGCTTCGTCTCTCCC